TTAACTTTAAATATTTTTGGTACTGATTTATGACATTCGGTGCTTCTTATTTATGGTACAGGATAGGCTTCATTAAGTCTATACGTTACTTTTTAGTTCTGGTTTATATAGTTAGCAGATTTTTGATCAGAAGTTCTATTCATAAAACAAGGCTTTGAGAGAACAGTTGGTATTATGTTGTTATTTTTACACAGAAAATATTTGAAACTTCTTACTTTAAGAAGATACTTGGTACAATAAAATGATTAAATTAGGAATTCCCTGTTGCATCTTAACTGGGATTCTTAAAAAATGAAAAATTTAATCGACATACTATTTACACTAATATGTTTTATTTCCTCCGTCACCGAAAGTGATGGAGGTTATGTTTTCGCCTCTGTGTATGTGTGTTTGTCAACAGGATTTCTGAAAAACGGCTGAACGAATTTGGACGAAAGACTTAGATGTAATTAGTTTTTGGAAGGTCAAGGTCACGCAAATCCAAAAAAAATTCCTATCTGTTAACATGGGAACCGATTTTTCACGCTATAACTCAATCAAAAATAATCGGATTTTGATAAAACTTGTTGGAAATATGTAGAATATTATTCCTCGTTGTTCTGTTAAAAATGATTCATGTTTTTTGATAACGATGGACATACGGACACAATTTTCGTATTTTTTGAGGGCCCAATATGACCAACGCTGTGTAAGGAGGTATGCGATCTACTGAGTGTCACTCTAGTTTTGTACTTGAAATTTTGTAAATTATATTTTCTTTCCAATGTTTGATTTTCACTATCATTTTCTTATCTTATATTTAATTCATTTTTAACGTCATTTAAGTGAAGCATCAGAAAGCTGTATATATTGTCACTTAAGGAATTTTCAAGTGTAAAAATGTACTTACTAATATTTTTATGTCTTCAGAAACATAAATAACTGACATATGACATGCAAACATTTTTATTGAAGTTTAAATTTAAAAAGTAATAAATACTGTTTGATTTATGTTATTCTGCAAATAATTAAGGCTCATGTATTATTTGTATTATTCTAGATTATTTTGAAATATATATATATATTCTTATTAATTTCAAGAAAAAAATATTTGTCACGATTTTAAAAGTATCATAGAAAAAGTATTTTATCTTTAAATTCTTATACAAATATTGTAACGGGAAGGATGTGAGTTATCTCGTTGGATTTCGAGTCCTGGTAGCTCATATATAGATTAGGATAATAACCAATGCTAAAAAAATAGCTCAAAATAGTAAAGTTTGTTTGGAATTAAGCACAAAGCTACACAATGGGCTATCTGTGCTCTGTCCACCACGGGGATCGAAACCTGCTTATTAGCGTTGTAAGTCCGCAGACATACCGCGGTGCCACTGGGGGGCGAAATAGGAAAGAATAATTAAAATATGTCGATGAATACCCTTGTTCTGCAATCGTATCATTCTAATGAATGTTCAGGCATATGTTAACTATACTTTTATATCCAGTTTTTAACTATTTTTCATCTTATTTATTTGGGATTGTTCAAAGAAGTACTTCAGGAGAATCCATCAAGAAGTACACATAACACTGCTTATAAGTCAAAGGTACGTGAATAATTAGCATACAAGTACAATGGCGCCATTTACAACAATAATTTTCAAACATTTATTTTAGTGGCTCCTGGGCCTAAATCTCCATTTAAATTTATTTTGTTTTTAACAATTTCTGAAGATTCTTTTTTTATATTTAATTCATCCTTATTCGTTAACTGTTTAAGAACTTTTGTATTATTCCAATCAATAATATGTTTAAACACCGCCACATGTTCCGCCAAAGCCAATTCACCCGTTTTTAATTTATCAACACCATTTTGATGTTCTTCACTTGGTTTAAACTACTTTCTAAAATTCTAAGTCCCACTTTGAAATTGAAATTTGGTAATTGAAATTTGAAACTTCAGAGTTTTTCTGGTAGAATATACCAGTGATTGAAAGATCTTGAATTCAAGATAATAAGATTTTAAGATACAAAATCTATTTTAGAACAAGACCTTTATCAGTACGATTGGGATCAATAAAAGTGTATTTATTTATTTTTAATAATATGGATGACTTGAAGATGCATATTCAGCTATAAGGTGAAACTATAAAGCATTTGCTGATATGCAAGTCATATTTCATGAAGTAGATCGCCAAATAATGGCTATTTAGATTTATTTTTAGTATTCTGAATGCATATTTGAAGATAAAATTTTTAACAGCCTTTTAACAAAAAATATTAAGAATTCCCTTAAAGACGTTTGTTTCATCCCAATTTTCATATTATTATTGTTAGCTTGGAAAGCTAGTACGAATTAAATTACTTACCTGTATTTTTTGTAATAGGATGTGTCTCGATCATGTGTAACATTTAAGAAGGTGTACATTATTTGCATATATTTAATATTTTGCTGTATACATTCACGGTACTTGTGCGCATTGGACCAAGGAATATGTAGTTGTTGTCTTTTTTTTGGGGGGGGGAGGAGTGGGGAGAACCAGGTACTCGACTCTTCCAACAGAAATATGCTTATACAGTTTCTTCTGGGATTTCAGGTATTGATGTTTTAAGAAATGGAAGTTTTCATACAAAACTCTTTTTAAATTTTTTATAAAATCGCTTTGAATAACACTGAATGAGTTTAGTGTTGTAAATAAGACAGTTGTTTTCTATAGGGCATTTCAAAATTCAAACTGGTTACGGACAATTTGTAGATCTTATTCGATGACGACGAACCAACTTTTAGACTAATAATGGTTGGAGACGGCTTGAATGGGTAATGAAGAAAAACTTTAATATAAGTTTAACATAACAGCAAATGTACAACGTTTTGACAAGGTTTTGTATCATCAGGTATCTGATGTTACAATAAAATATTTTATGAATATTATCCATAACTGTGTTTCATTTAAAAAAATAAACATCCAGTATAAATGTTCAGTTTCTGAAGAAAAATGTTTAGTCCAAAATTCTAACTTGCATATTTGTTCAATTAACATGCTTTCCAGTGGATCAGCGACAAGAACTATACTGGGCGCAGCGCAGATATCACATTGAGTGGGCTTAACAACAAACAATAAAATCAATTAACACACATGCACATCTGATAAAGAGGTTAATTATACTTTATAAGAATTATGTCCCAAGTCTTGTGGTGCTCTAATAGCTACTTCCCCTCCATCGTGGATCATGCCCATTCTGAGGTTACTACTCTCGTCCGACACTGACATTTCCGTTGTATCAAGTTCTGCGAAAGAGTGAGGTCAATCTTAGACCACCCATCTGGGCAAGTTTTCCACAGGGTTTCTCCTGAACGTGGGCATCAGCTTCCAAGACCACCTTTAAGCAGATCAATTGCTTAGAATTTCATAGCTAATAAGGATATATACAATATCATGGGAGGGAAGATTCTCTTGAATGAGGGGTGTTCGAACTTTGGTAACAATAGTGGCAGTCTTGCTTGATGTGGTGCGCTGTTTAAATAGTTTTTACATGGATGATCGATCTTTCCTTGCCGGTGGTATTCACTATGTTGTTGATCTTGATGTTTTTGTTATTTTACTATACGAATACCCTTTTTGGTGACACACGTTACTGCATGAATATATATATATATAGTTCGTATATGCACTATTCCCAATTTTGACGTTCATCTATGTTCATACGACAATATTACATAAAGTAAGTGCCCATTCATTGGATCAATATTAAAAAACTTGTTAGTTTAGTTCAACACAATAAGTTTAAAGTATGTTTTATATATTTTTAACTTGTGAAACGAGTCTTTCCGTATATTGATATTTAAATGTTTATACTTCTAAACTAAGGACATACCCCAAGGAACGAAACTGGTGTAGTTTAATGCGACATCTGGTGAGTGAACGCCCTGCCTGATCCATAGTCACGTGTGGCTAATTTGCAGTTGGATGCTCATTTCCAAGAAAATACATATATTTCTTTCTGACATGAGCAGTCAGATTTCGGCAATCTTGTGTACACGTGGTCTGACTCGTTTGCTTCATTCATTATAATAATACTCAGTTTTTATCTGTCCTGAAAATGCGCACCTTACTATCTAAATGCGCACGCGCCTTAATGGTTGTAAACAGCAGATGGATGTGAAGAAAAGCTTATCAAAGTTTTTGAAAAGGTCTGACATTAGGTTATATAATAACATTATAACTTTATTTACTGATAGTATCAAGTACGATAAAGTTTAGCCCTAACTAAACTAAAACCAAAAACGTACACAAGTTACATTGTTAATTTATCTCTATCGAATATAGGTCGTACTTAATAAAGGCTCAACTAATGTTAGTCCTAAAACAAGTGGACTTGCAAGTTACAGGTTTTAGTACCCACGATTAGAATTCTTTTGTATTATTCTAGAAATCCTGGATTTAAACTTAAATATCTGTTGCAATAAAGATACTAATTTGTTTGCAAATTTTTTGTGAGTCTCTGCTAGTTGTGAATAATTGTTTTATACATAATAATTATTTTACTGACTTAGTAATATCGCTTTTAAATGTATTTTGTAATTTCTCAATAGATGTGTATTTAATATTTCTATCTATCTCTTCTACTATATTTCTAGGCTTAACAAGGTTTTATTTGACAACAGATGTATTAAACATATCTATCTTGATTATTAGTTTAGTTTTATGAGAGACACAAGATAACTGATCTGTCTTATCAAAATATTTCTTTCCAAGACAACTAATATAAAACATTATGTTTTGTTGTCTAAGTGCTTTAGTAAACAACAGCAAAAAAACTAATTTTTCACTAATGATAGATTTAATTTTCGAGAAGATCGGACAAGTTGACCCTTTACTGATAGTGATAAAGTATGTCTTTGTTGATTGTTTTGACTTTGAACTTTTCCAGCTCTTGATCTGATTATGAAGAAACGGACTTCGTGAACACAGTTGGCAGTCTAGAAAATTTAGAACATCCGTGACTTGAGATATGTCTGCAAAATGTCGTTTATGACTACTATTGATATAAATGCTTCTTTTTCTGGTAACAGTGATGAAAACACCTCAAGCACTAGAAATCTCACAGTGAAAAACCTTTACTCTATTGACAAGATAGCATATTCAGTGACATTGGCCACCATTTCTTTATTGTCTGCTGTGGGAAACTTCTTGGTGACATACACTCTGTTGAAAAAAGAAGAGAGCTTGTCACCAAGCAACAGGCAAGTATCTTGAGTCCATATAATAAAGATGCAAAAGTTTCGAAAAAATTGCCAACATATATATATGTATATGTACAGAGCAAAATAAATAGCTGTACTGTTGTTTCTGTTAAATATTTAATTGTTGTTAAGAAATATATAAGAAGAAAATATAATAAATTTATTAGGCAGAATTTTTGGTAGAAATTAATATTACATGCTCTGCATAGAATAAAAAAGAGAACATTTCGCATTAAGCTGTAAACGGAATATTTACAGGCTCCTAATATCAAAATCCGTAATACGATTGGTTGATTTTTGTCTTGGGTTGTTTAGTGTATGGCCTAGTGATGATCGTTAAGGAGTAATATCTGAGTGAGAAAAACAAACGTAACTGCGTTAAGATAAGTTATAAACAATTGTGCGAGAACGTTTGCTGCCATACCAAGTGTTTTCCAGTAATTAAATATTTTTATGTATTTTTTATAATTTTTCCAAAGGTTTGTTTTAAGTTTAACAAGCTCCAACTTCCTATTGGCTGTTCTCGTCCAGCCCTTCTTAGTCGTTGCATCGATTACACAAGAGTGGATTTTTGGTGTCATCTGGTGTCATCTGACTGCATTTGCCTTCCTGTTAGTGTCTACAGCAAGCATCTTGACACTAGCAGCAATCGCAATAGACAGGTACATAAAAATAGTGTAATAACTTAACTTCCTGCAGTAAGCGGACATAAAAGTATCATTTGCTAACGATATTCTCTCCAGTTCACAGGTACAGAAGACAGACACGTGTCAGGCGCTGTTGTGACTTTTTTTAATAGATGGATGATATGCACCATATACAGACGTAAATTATATCAGTGGACAGGTGTATTCATGGAGTTTAATCCAGTAGAGAAGTTGCATGAGTAGCCTACGCTCTCGTAACTTATTCCATACCATTTTACATAACGTATGTTTTAATACAGAAAAAAACCTCTAAGGTACCTCTAAGATTTGATACATTGTAAGGTTAACCATTTTTGAATGACACTTAGTATATATATACAAGTCTCAATGCACATGCTACTAAGCACAATGTACATGGTTACGTTGTATGGATAAAATATATATCTTTTATATATACATTTGGTGACACATGATATTTTGCATAATGTACAACGTTACACGGTACAAAAGCGCATCGTTAACTTCTTTTGTATGATACAGTGTCGTGTGTACAAAACTCATAACAGGTAATATTATGCATAATTTGCACTGTTAATGTAGACGGACTTGCCAAACATGCCCAGCGATTGGTGACAGAAGGTCCTAGTGACAACAGTCCTAATGCAGTGTAGTACCAAACTTGGTTTCAATAAGTGTTACTATTCTGTGAAACCTGATCATAACTAGGTTTAGAGAAGTATCTGCTGTAATTTATTTTCATTTTTGTTTCATAAACTCGATCAGTTGATGACAACTAGAATGTTGTGGTCTGCTCCTTCTAGTTAACCTATAAGAAGATCTCGAAGGTGTTTCGTAAGATTCAGATGTGTTTCTCCCACAAACAAACGTTAGAATGAAGAGGACATGTGAAATTTCGAAACTAGTATCCATATCAATTTGGAATTGTATTCTTCTGTAAGTGTGGATTTAAACTTTATGGGTCTTTCATGTTTTAGGTAGGGAATGTTATTCTGCTGGAACAACACACTGACCTGTTAACAACACAAAAAAAGACTCTGCTATGGCTTGTGGAACGAGTTAATATAACACCCCTTGATACTCAGGGGTATTTACAAATCCATATGCTTAACTGATAGATTCCTTATAATAACACTTCCATTACAATCTTTCCAAGTCGGTATAACAATCATGGGCAAATTGCTCACCTTCTTATTTTCAGAACTATTTTTGTCTATTGCTTTTAGAGTGGATAAATAACCTATTCTCATACGACAATATTTGCGACTGATCTTCAATATTCCTTTACACTAGTCAAACCAATCTTGAGTATCCCTGACGGTGATAAATGGTGTGCCTATTTCAGGTCTTCCATAGGACCCAGAAGCCTTACGAGTAGAACCTGATAACAATACTTAACAGTTGAATTTGTTTTAATATCTGAACGTGATATCAGATACTTTTTCATATTTCCAACAACTGGACGTTGGTCATACTTCGGAAGCACTTTAGGCTGACCTGAACAGTTTTCAAATGTTTTACCGTCAAGTTTCCAACATTGTTTAATGACTTCATCACATTACCATCAGCTTACAAGCTACCCTCTCTAAAAGTCATGTATTACACGAGGCTTTGGCATCTTTCAGGCAATTAATACTACTAATTCACCTGTCGGGTATTTCTCTGCGTTTAGAATTACTAAGCTCCCTTACAAAGCATGCTGTATGTAACATGTCACTTATTTAAATGTTCCTCTAGAGCAGTACATTTCTTACAATGTATTTTACCATTTGCAATATGCATATTGTACAGGTATATTAAGATATAACTAACGTTTAAGTCTGACCTTGATAAAGTAGTTTTGTGAACTTAATAACTCTTGATGCCACTTACACAGTACTGTAGGGTTTATTTTTGATCATGATATTGTGTATCTAACACATCTTTTAATTTAAGTATCGTATATTTTGCAAGTGTTTTTTCTGATCACGATATTGAAGTTGATGAGTACTCAGTACTTATTAAATGATATTGTATATTATGTGTAGGTTCTATCTAATTATGATAGTTTTGTGTACATAGCTCGTGTTTAAGTGCTCTGTTATAAGCTTACACTTCATCCGACCAGGGTGCTGTGGTTGATGTACATTTAATACCTGAGTAAAGGTATTACATATAAGACACCTTTAATTTTTGAAAAACAATCACGAAGTTTGTGTATTTAACCGTGTTACGCACTTTTAAATATGCAGGTTCTGGCCATGATTCTATAGTTATGTGTAATTAATAATTGTTACAAAATACTGTTTATTATATTTATATGTAATCTCTGCAAACGTGGCTTTACGTTGATTGGGTACCTAAACATCAAATACATTAACTTCTTATCAATAAGCACGACAGTACTTAATAGTAGGCATCGTGATGAAATAAAATGGCGGCCATACAAATCGCCCGTTTAAAACCACCTGTAAAATGTCTGAACAGTAACAACGACTATTTCAAAGTATTGGCTGAGAAAAACTATAAAACCTCCCAAATCGCTATATACGTGTTTATAGAGTGAATCTAAATTTTAATATTTCAACGAATTTTCATCTAAGTGGGTAAGTAAGTGAATTTTCCAGACAAGTATACAGAAAAACTGACAAACCTTGTCGCTCTAATTCTTTCACAGAACTCTTCAGCCTAGGATCCCAGTGATTCCTTTCTTGCACCGAAAAGGATACAAGTATATATATATAAAACGGACGATGCGTTACTTTGGGCATATAATTAGATTTTAGGGTAGGTTGGTAGAGATCCTGATGAGTACTAAAATCGAATCGGGTACACGCGTGCCCCACGCTTGGTATTGCTGGCACATAAAAATATAGCTAATAAAAAGGAAACAAACAAGTACAATAAAAAAATTGAGTTACTTAAAACTTAAAACTTTTTATCCCTACTTTGGCTCAGTCTAATATAATTACAGTGATTTGCCAAAATAGGGATACAATTTTTAAAAATTTATGTAACTCAGTTTTTGTAGTTTTACTTTATTGTTTCAATACTTTTGTAGCATTAAAATTTTCTATATTAGTATAGCTGGCTAGGTTACGTATATATATCGAACCCTACTTGTCTTTATAAAATTTATTTTTTATTGTACTTGTTAGATATGAAATGATAGTCAATTTGCATTACACGATACTATACTTAAATATATGACATATCTCAGATATTACTGCACGTAGTATCCAATTTGTGACTATTATATAGTAATGACAATAAACATTCAACTTTAACAATATTGTATATATTGTACTGTGGCACTTCCTAACTAATCTCAGCTTCTGTTGAAGGGAATTTTGTAATGCATGTATAAGTTTTGATGTACAGTGCTTTACGCTGTATACTTTATTTATGTTGTGAGCATTTTATTCTGTATACTTTAGCTTCTGTTATAAGACACAGAGTATACCAGACTTTTTTATGTGGGACTTTATATCGTGTAAGTAACGTTTGTTGTATTATACTGTATTATGATTCTGAAAGTCTTTACGATAAACTTTTCCTCTATGTTTGTGTGTGTGTGTACAATATTTTATTTTCTTCTGTCCCTGGTCCTTTCTCTGTCACATAATCATCTGATATCAAAATATTTTTATAAATTAACTGATGCAGGAATTTAAAAATAATTGCAATATCCTGTTTCAAATTCGTGACAGTGACAAAATGCAATAATAAATATAGCTCAATCAGATCTTAGCTCCACGTTCAGTATTGTTCAAGCTTTCAGCTCCTTTTCAAAATATCGAATAGTTTTCATATGAATACAATATTGTTGGGAAAAGATATTTTTTCAGTCTGTATACTTTATAGCACCTGAATATTATTTTAATGTCAGATTATTTATTATTCCTTTTGCAAACACGTGATTTACTAAAATATGTTAACTTGAAGACGGCTCCAAGAGAGGATTTGAAAACTTGCTCGTGAATATTGAACATGTATAAAACCCGACATGATTATTTTGTTTTTATAATTGCTAATTTCATGTGTAACCTTTCTCATTTTCTTCTTATTTTTCCGTTTTCGTGTAAGGGTTACATAATTTTCTGTGGGCGTTTTGGATTCCTGACCATCTTAATCCTAAGGTAGTTACCCCATTTATCCCACCTATTTCTATGCCACTCATGAGCACTTAACCAATTTCGTAGATTCTTGAATACGGTTAACAAGAATGCATTTAGCATAGTTTTTTTTTATAAGAGATTACTGATTATTGTCCCGTATTTTAATTTTTAAAGACTAATGACTTTAAAATTAAAATAAAAAGATTAGATATATTTTCTCAATGGAAATTCTATTGTATTGTCATAGTTTAAATTATAAAATTGTTTTGCATATTTTGTGTTCTTTCGTATTGAAGAATAACAAATCATTAAGGTATTTTATGCATTTTAGTCGTGTTTCCACTATCAATAATTTCATTAATAAATTATAGTCCCACCAAACATGCT